CCCCTTCCCCCCCCCCCCCTCAATGCCAACTGTGAGATGACTCACAACCAGACAATTTATGATCTAGAAACTGCAAACCATTATAGAATACAGGGTGATTCACATCACACTTTAAACCATTATAGAAAACAGGGTGATTCACATCACGCTTTAAACCATTATAGAATACAAGGTGATTCATATCACACTTTAAACCATTATAGAAATAATACAGCGTGATACACATCACACTTTAAACCATTAGAGAATACAAGGTGATTCATATATCACTTTAAACCATTAGAGAATACATGGTAATTCACATCACACTTTAAACCATTATAGAATACAGGGTGATACACATCACATTTTAAACCATTGGAGAATACAAGGTGATTCATATATCACTTTAAACCATTAGAGAATACATCGTAATACACATCACACTTTAAACTATTAGAGAATACAGGGTGATTCACATCACACTATAAACCATTAGAGAATACAGGGTGATTCATATTTCACTTTAAACCATTAGAGAATACAGGGTGATTCACATCACACTTTCAACCATTAGAAAATACAAGGTGATTCATATCACACTTTAAATCATTAGAGAATACAGGGTGATACACATCACACTTTAAACCATTAGAGAAATACATGGTAATTCACATCACACTTTAAACCATTAGAGAATACAGGGTGATTCACATCATACTATAAACCATTAGAGAAATACATGGTAATTCACATCACACTTTAAACCATTAGAGAATACAGGGTGATTCACATCATACTATAAACCATTTGAGAATACAGGGTGATTCACATCACACTTGAAACCATTAGAGAATACAGGGTGATTCACATCACACTATAAACCATTAGAGAATACAGGGTGATTCACATCACACTTGAAACCATTAGAGAATACAGGGTGATTCACATCACACTTGAAACCATTAGAGAATACAGGGTGATACACATCACACTTTAGACCATTATTGAAAACACATGGTGAAAAGCTTAAAACTTTGAACCATGCTAGGATATACAGGGTGAACCATGTCACGCATCACTATTACAAGATTTAATTGCGAAAGAAGATGATGATGGTATTTATGAAAATCAAAAGAGACAAATAAAAACAATGAAGACGACAGCTTCTCGGTACTTCTATGTTTTGTGTTTCCATGCTGTTTAATAGCTTGATACAAATCAAAATTAAAAAAGAAAGTATTTTATTGATATAATCTCCTACCAGTCCAGTGCTTAGGATCCAGATCTGGATCTGGATCCGTTGGATCCGCAAGATTTTGTCTTCCTGGATCCAGATCCAGATCTTCAAAAATATGCGGATCCACAGATCCGGATCCAAGGGGTAAAATATCAGCCAAAAACTGCAAAAAAAAACCTTTTTTACTCCTAAAATCAAAATCAGAACTTTTGAGAAAAAGAGAGATTATAAAAATTTCCTCATTCCGGAATGGTTCATCAAGTTTTAGGATAAAAATATGCGAAAAAAAATAAAACAAAAAATTTGAAAATTAATTTGTTAAAAAAATTCAGTAAATCTTATAGAAATGACCTGGATCCGGATCCATTTTTTTCCAGTGCGGATTCAGGATCCGGATCCGCATCAAAATTAAATGGATCCTAAGCACTGCCTACCACTGTATTATGCAGCATGTAAAACAAAAAACATTATCCTGAGACAAAAGAAAGGATTATATATACATGAATGGAATATTCTCTGCATCAAATTGAATAAAAAATAGGGTCAAATCAAAACAGTGTTAAATGTCTAGAAATGGCCCAAAAAGTTTCATAAAAAGCATATAAAACCTTTAATATGAATCCATGTATAGAACAATAGAAAAGCTTATATCCATAAAATAAGTGGAATATTCTCTGTTGAATAAAAGAACAGTGTGCATAAAGAAAATACTACTGAAAACTTCGCAAAAAGTTTTTATTTAGTTAAATTATCTTTCAAAGTTCATTTTAATAGAGTTTGTTTAAAAAGTGAATAATGTTTGAAGAGAAAATGGTCGCGGATTGAAAGAAAAACTAAGTTCTACTCATAAAAATGGCAAGACCAAGATTATAAACACACATTTATTCGACCATAAACACAATATTTCCATTAAGATGAACCAAAAACAACCAAAACTGAATAATTCCGCAAATTATTAAACAACCTCAAAAGAAAGTAATAATAAATGTTAGATATGCATTGGATATGTAAAAGTTCGCTTCCTCTAGCAAGATATAATATAGAGATTTAGATAACTAGGCTTTTAGAATATATTTCAATTGTGAACAATTTCTCTTCGTATACTTTGTAAAACAAAACCAAAAATAAAGTTAACGGATTTTATAAAAAAAAATGTTGTGGATTTTCAAAATTAAGAAACTCGAATTTTGTTGGGAGGCAAATTATTTAAATTTAGATCATTCATGAACATTCCCGAGGACCATGTAAGGTCCCACACAAAGTTTGGGCCAGATCAGCTAAGCCATATTGACGTTTATTGAATACAAACAGACAGACAAACAGACATCCGACAGACAAGCAAAGTATACATATAGATTTACTTTCTAAATTTTATAATTTTATTTTATATCCCCAAAATTTGTACCTTTGTGGAAATCGTGATCAATGCCTGATCTCGATTTTTTTATAAGTCTACAAGATATTTTAAATCTTTATTCAATATTCCATTGTAAACACAGACAATCAGTAGCCAGAGAATTTTACGTTCAACCAATGAGAGAACAGATTCTTCATAAAATACTTAAAAATATTGTTCTATTATCATTTATAGGAAAATGATGTATTAAGTTCACTTATTTTTTATTTTATGATCTTAGTTATGGCTTGAAATTTTATTGGGATATTGTAACAAATTAAAAATGAGACTACTATGAACAATTGTAAATATATGAATACTATCTTGTATTAACAGAATTTTATTATTATCATTTATTACTTGATTAAAATTTTAAGTGGGGCCATGTCAGTTACCACAAAACAAATGGCCCGTTCAGTTTAGCCGTTTTGACGTTTACTGGATACAAACAGACTGAGAAACCAACAAAAGCCAAAAATGTATATATATATTTATATAGAATAGATTAAGATGGAATTAATTTAATTAAAATTGCGGTCTCAGCTGCAATAAATGAGTAACCCTGTAAATAATTGTTGGATCAGAGCTTTCTCTGATTAAAACGCCTTCTTAGGACTCAAATCTTTCTAATTCTAACATCTAAAAATTATAAAACTCAAAGAATTTTTTTTTCTGAAAACAACTTCTATATTATAAGGTTGTAACTAGCTATTTACTGAGGGAGTTTGTGCACATCCATTTAATTATTGAGTAAGACATTGGCAGGGGGGGCTACATTCCAGTGCTCTATTTTAAATTAGATAGTTTTATATCTAAAATTGGAAGTATATTAATGAAAGAAGGAATGAATTTACCCTTCACCATTTGGTTTCAAACTAAAAAAGTGTAACATAAGCGCTCCCATCAATTCATAAACAAAAAGTTAATAATAAAATGTGCCCAAAACGTGTTATGCTACCTTACTGTAAAGGCAAAGTTTCTACGTGCCAAAACACAATTTTCAAAACTACCAAAAAAAGTTAGAGAAACCCATTTCCTTTTCATTCCACTGACCTTTACATATCCATCTACCAAGTCCAAATTATTTGGGTCATCTTCGCTGATATCTATTGATTGACCGAATCCAAAAGGAGGGACTGACTTTGCAACTCCAGCATGAATGGGTGCTGGAGATTCATTAAAGCCCATGCAAGATTTCTTACGAGATTTTATTAGAGTAAAGCAAGTATTTGTTGTTAGTGCAACTATAGGATATTTCTTATTTAGGATCTTTACTTCATAAAGTTGGAAAAAATACACAATAAATATGATTTAAACTTCTGTAATATTATCAAAATTAAAATCCTTAAAGTGGTCAACAACGCAAAATAGAAATATTTCCTATCGGGTTCTCGACCCTGTTTGAAGCAGTTTTACTTGATACTTCAAGCGAACCAGTGTTTAGTTCCTCTGAATTAATTGCGTCTTCAACAGCAATAGTATCGTGATCATTAATACCATAGGAACTAACAGCATCATCGACTTCAATGATAGCTTCTGCTTTATTTGAAGAACTCACAGTATTAGCTTCAACACTAGAAAGTTCCTTAACAGATTCATGAACTTCTTTGTCAATCTCAGTGGTATTTCGGATTTCTTCATTAACATGGTCATCATTGATTTTTATATTTTCTTTGACATCTTCATTGCATTTCTCATCTTGAACCAAGCTCACAAAATTGGAATCGTCTTTACTTTTATCAACAACTTCAACTAATGTATCAGCATTGATATCCTCAATCAACAATTCTTTTCCCTCGGTATTTTCTTGACTGATGTCTTTGTCCAATTGTGAAATCTCATCATTGACATCGTCATTAACAACTATTATTTCTTTATCAACATTGTCAACTTCTTTATTTTCGGCAACATGTTCCCCACCTGAGGTTTCAACATTGACATCCTCATTTATTTGATCCTCTCCCTCAATCTTTTTATTTTCATTTTCAATTTTTTCATCCTTAGCCTGTGAAATCTCTACATCTGGAAAATCCGATATTTTCTCTACTGTCTGTACTTCCTCACTACATAGTTCATCAGATGGACTCAGTACACCAATGTTAGTCAGATCTAAGAAACCCTTGGATTCATCTACAAAGCTGATTTTTCTAATATTCTTAAAATCTACAGGTGCACCTTCAGTTTTTGTAACATCTGTTGATCTGTATTTTTATTTCATGATCGCTGTAATTGAAAATACCAATGAAGTAAAAATGTGTAGGAACACCATTAAAAGGACTAAAAAAAGACATGAAAAAATTCCTTTTGCTTTGTTTAGCTCCCATTTTAATAATTCTATGAATGCCACTTGGTAAACTAATTTAAAACATTTTATTTCTACAACAAAGAAAGCTTTAAAATCAAATAAAATGCTGAAATTCCTTTAAAAAAAATGACATGTGACTGATTTTTTAGCATTAATTCATTAATTAATACACTTAATCCTTTCTCACAAGCAAGTGTGTTTAATATCTATATATTAATGAACACTAATGTTCTATAATGATGAATCAGCTTGTGAAAACTGAGCTGCATACCTGGATTCAAAACATCCATTTAACAGGTGTTACACTGCAGGGGTGAATATGATTTGATTGAAATAAGAAAGGGGTGATGGTGATTTTTTTCTGGATAACCTTGCTTTTCTCTAAGTTTTACATAACTACTTGATTTTAACAAAACTTTGATTGAAGAGAGCTTAAACAAGTCCGTCAACTTCAATGATGAAAAATATAAAATCTCTTAAAAAATAGCTAATATAGTTGGAAAAAAATAAACATCAGTTGCAAATTTTCCTTTAATATACCATATTTTTTTATCTATGCACTTAATTTAATTTTCCCTGATAAAACTCTATTTTGAAAAATAAGTGGCATTTCAAAATTACAATATCAACATACAGATACCAACTTTGAATTTTTTGGCTTTCATGAAAGGGATAAACTTGAGGTTATGACCTTCTGTTTGTTCAAAATTTATCTTTTTATCTAATATTTCTGTAATTTTCTCTTTGAACTTTAATAATTAAAAAAATTGATTTTCCAAATGGATAAAAAAAATAATGTGTTTCCTGCCCTCCACCCCCTCCCCCCGATAATAAGTTTTGTGCAATGTGCATTGAGCGCCAATAAATTTTTTAATTTAGGGAAAATTTATGATTTTCAGGGGAAATCAATGAATTTTTACATGAGAATTTAGAGAATTTGTAAGCTTCCCAATTTATTTCCAATTTTTAACATCGAAAAACAATTAGCTGTCAACTTTTAATAGACTAAACTAGAAAATCAGGAACAGAAATATGTATAGCCTGTGAAACCAGATTTACCCCAGGAAACTAAACATACACAGACAAACAGAGATTACTACTATATATATAAATGGATAGATGAAAACCAGTCTACACGTTAAAATAGTTCAGAGACTTAAATTATTTTAAATATTTTGATAATTTACAAGTCTGTTTCTAGGTAGATTTAATTTAGAAAATGTTGTAAAATACTTTAACAAAAATTTTGTTTGTTTAATCATTACTTATCTCAAGTACGGAATTGAATTCTTAAAACATTTATAGAACATTTTTGAACTTTACAGAGAAGAAAAATAGATTTGTAGAATGNGGGGGGGGTTAGTTTCTTTAGGAGAAAAGTATCAAAAAAAATTGTGAGAATAAAAACCAATTTGATGAATGTATCAAGTATATATCTTTAAAACTAATTGTTGTAAATGGGAGAAAAGAAATATAAAAAGTACTAAAAAATAATTTCAAAATATGATTTTTGAAAAGATTTTTTTTTACACATGCAGAATTATAGATGTCTAAAAGTTGACCCAATTTAGATGCATTGGAAAAATTCAACTAAACTTTCATTTATAAAATATAAAACGCCTAATTTATAACCTAAATTTTGTATATTTGAATCCTGAAATCTATGAAATATGAGTTCAGCTGATCCGTGAATGTTGGATCTGGATCCGGATCCATGAAATAGGGATCTAGCTGATCCGTGAATGTTGGATCCGGATCAGAATCCATGAAGTAGGGATCTAGCTGATCCGGATCAGAATCCATGAAGTAGGGATCTAGCTGATCAAGATCAGAATCCATGAAGTAGGAATCTAGCTGATCCGGAACAATAATAAAAGGATGCAACGGATTCAAACCCATAAATTATGGATCCAGCCTATCTGGATTCATAAAAAAGAAAGAAAAATTAAAAATGGGACATCGACAGAGAAGTTCTTTTTATTTATTCTTTTCGATACTTTTTAGTTTTTACCCAAAAAATAAACATTTATTTTCCCAAATTCAGCGAAAAAAACCTAAAAAAAATACATATTTAACTTCTAGGGAAAAAAATCATTTTTTCAAAAGGGGGGAACTATTTTTTAGGAAAATATTCCCCTGGCTACAAATCCATAAGATACAAATCCAACAGATCCGGAACCATAAAATATGGATTCAGAGAAGCACAGATTAAAGTACTCACCCTCTCTAGCTTCTGAAAATATTCTCTAAGGAAAGAGACTGGATTATCTGGTCTAGAGACACACAGCTGCACTATACACTCCTTAATAATATTAACATAAATTAATTTATTTGTTTTCATGTAAACTTGGTTTCATAATAACAAAATAAATCCAATTGCAACCTGGTGTCTAAAATTGGTTTCAAAAAAATAAAATAACACCAATTCCAGCCTGGTAGGTTAAATTGACAAAGGCGTTTTCAGGGTGGGGGGCTATGGGACTCACCCCCCCCCCCCCCCC